ACATATCTTTTACTATGCTCTCTAGAACAGCATGCGGCCCGTCTGGCTAACAGTAAACGTTGCGTTTCCTACTGCGCATTGAAAGAAGATCCTATATTTTTATTAGTCCTTTAAATTCTAGTATTGAATATAAATCGAACATGTCTCCATAGCGCAGTGTGTAGAGTTTCCGACCACGAACCGAGGATTCAGAGTTCGAATCCGGGTCAGGACAAAGACTTTTTTATTTTATTTTCGTTTATATTCTGATAGTAAAGTATTAAATATTTGTTTTTTCTTTGAATCACCGGAATTATTTAATACTTTACTATCAGAATAAAAAAGAAAATAAAATAAAAAAGTCTTTACCCTGACCCGGATTCGAACTCTGAATCATCTTAGACTATAGCTTGGTACAAAATGGGGAGTATTTTGCTAATAAAAATAATATTTTATTAATCATCAAAAATAGGTTACAATGATACCTACTAGATTCAGGGAAGGTAAAAAAAAATAGAGAGACAAGAAAATCTGAAATTATAAATGTATTATTGTGAAAATTCCAAATAACCAAAATACACATACATATTACAAAAAATAAGATTGGCTTGTTGTAAAAATAAGTATTAAATGTACATTTCATTACATTAATAATAAATAATATAAATAAAAAAAATGTTTTAAATTCAAATAGTTAAAGAGAATGCCAACTTTCTGGTCAAATTATACGAAATTACATGACAGTACACGATTATATGGGTAAGCACTTAACTTTAACTATATAGTATAAATAACCCCGTAACATTATCCTACCAAACAGTAAACTACTTACTGTTCTAAAAATAGACAGGGTAAATAATTCCAAAGAGCACGGTGGTACGAAAAAGTTACCTAACTTTTACATTAGGGCGAGATTGCTGTATTTATCCCCGTGGGTGGTTATCCTACTCAAGACAAAATAAGAGGTTATATCGTCCGTTGGTTTGCTACAAAAACAAAGTCAAAATTTTTGTTTTATTAAAATAGCTGTACGTCATTGATTATAATTGTGTTACTGTTTCACAAATCAAGATAAAGATACTACGACTGACATAAACTCTAATTTATACATGGCGGATCCAAAATAATGTGTAAATATAAGTTACAGGTTAAACATATTGAAACTGTTCAGACAGGTTAAAAATATTGAAACTGTAAGACAAGATATAGCAATACTGGAAAATTCTTAGATATATTACAGCTTCTATAACTGAACACACTGATTCAGCACCACATTAGTGACTAATGTCCACTTGCACCGTTTGTAGAAACTTTGTTTAAAGGCTAAACAGTGATTAACTATAATATAGTTAATCACTGTTTAGCCTTTAAACAAAGTTTATACAAACGGTGCAAGTGAGCATAAATGCGGTAAGCATCATAATACCGTGAAAATTATTCATAATACCGTGGAAACTTCATGGTAATGAATTTATTGTCCAACTAGTAAACTACCTGGCATAAGTAAAAATTACTCTATAAAAGTCGGGTGAGATGGCCATTGTTTTGAATAGAAGGTGCTTGTTTTTTTTTGTGAAGGTCGGGCTTTAACTAACTTATCTGTTTAACATAACTTAATTATCATCCGAACTGATAGGAAACTGATTACAATCCAAATACTTATAATTTATTTATTATTGTTTGTATAAAAATAAACTGCACGTAAATGGCCAATGTAATAGGGGAGAGTTCGCCATGTAAAATCAAAGTAAAATGGCAAAACTTGAAAACGATATGAGAACAAAATATCTTAGTACCTATTTTTACTAGGTACTAAGAGTGGTAGGGCCCCAGACTACTACCTACTACTACCTATTTTGATTCTTTTTAAAAGCATTTTTACCACAATTTTGGCAAGTCCTTAGATAGGAAGAGCAATTTTCATGGAACCACTCACATATTCTACACTGCAACCAATCTTCCTTTTTCGGGTGTTGTAGCTTTCTCCACAACCTACACGTTTGGTTCATCCACTTCAGAAAAGGTATCACTATTTTTCTTGTATTGGACTTCCATATCCTCCTCATCAAGTATACAATATATGACCATCTCTCCCTGCTATTCCGTGGCCATGTCTCTCAAAATGCTAGGAAGGGGTGGCCAACGGGAAAAGAACTAACGGCATGTTTCTAACTGTTTCTGATGGTTAAGATTATCTAATAAACGTTGTACTCACCTAATAAGTTGAAAAATATAGTAAATTCACTAAGATACGTTCACAGTAGAAGGTAAGTCAAATCTATTGTATAATTTTATAAGGAAAAAAATGTTTTATTTTTTGGGTGTTTTTATATCACATTTATAGAAGCTAGAAGCTGACCGACTGTGCTTATACAGTAATGTTCTTTGTAGTTGATGTCAAGCAACCCCATCGGAAGACGCGTTTTTTCAGTTTTAGCTGTTGGTCATCTCTCTCGGCTGGCCATCTCACCCTACTTTACCCTAATAACAAGTCTTTTTATTGCCCATGTATAGATGATCAGATTAGATTTTTTGATATTGCTATTGGCTTATTTTATTGCGACACCTTTACAGATCTACTGTGCTCTTCTTACCTCTCGATTACATTCTCCAGTGACCAGTCGTATACTTTCATAAATTCTAATAATTTGGAGCCTGAACCTTTTATATATCTTTCACAAAGAACCGCACATTTTCGAGGCTACTGATGCATTGACATATATTGCTCTACAAACTTGAAAATAATTTCCAGCAATTTCTCATGCTCTCTTTAGTTATAAATATTTTTTTCCGCAAGCTCTACGACTAATACTTTCCGAGAGACAGCCGAGAGCTATTCTTAGTGGGACACCCTGTACATACCGTCTTTACATAAATATAATTATTTTGATATTCTCATAAACATAATATAATTGTCTGTTATTTGAGATATGTTTGTCTAATTTTAAATTATTATAATCATACAATAATACCGTATGATCGAATAAAAACGGCGCCGGCGTCAGCAATGGCTATGAAATGAAGATTGCTGTCATTTTATATGTAAAATTATATTGAAAATGTCATCGATCGTCATTTCCAAGCCAACTGGACGCCATTTTTTTTCGATCATACGGTATTTATCAAAATTATGATGAGCACGAGCAACTCAAGACTTATCTGCATTTTTTAGCTGAGAATGAACAGACTAAACGCAGTACGATTTAAGTATGCTCTGCTACATGACGACAATAGACATATGAGTCTAGGTTGAAAAAATAATGATAACGGTCTAAATATACATCGATATTAATTTGAAGGAGATTAATAAAATTTAAATATTTCTTACATTTAGATTTCACATCATCTAAATGCAAAATAGCTCAAATTTATATATCTGCCCTTGCACCAAACTGAATAGTAAATTAAAATAAAAAAAAACAGCTACTTAATGAATTAAAAATTATTAGATTAGAATTGAAAAAATAAAAACAGTAAAATTCAATTAAATTTTTAACTTTTACATGTTGAAATTATCTAATGAAATTGTGGGAAAAAATGTTTGAATTAATTGTATTTTTCCCTATTATTTCATGTTTAAATAATTATTGTGTCCTATTGTTTCGGTGTTTAATAATTTCCTAAAATATCTTTGAGTTGAGTTAAGTAAAAAATTGCATTGTTTTGAAATCTTGTAACTGCTTATAATCTGAAAAGTACTATTAATCAGTGAGTTGATTGATTATAGTATGATTACAGTAATTTTTAGAGATATTTCTTGTAATCACAAATGGTTAATGTAACAATGCTTATGCTATGTTTATGGTACAACAAATATTCACAAGCAATGCATATCATGGTATATTATTATAGACACAGCTGGTTATCTATTACCTGCCGCACCTGTTCCTGTACACATGCTGGTAGTCAGAGCACCATGTATAGTCTGTCCAACGCGCCAGGAAAGATTTCGACAGACATTCAAAAAATTACAGAAAACACCATTTTCTATTAAATTACCTGTGAACTAACATGACATACACGACAGACACAACTGTCGCTGTCATGGATCATCTTGTTGGACATATGTATATTTTTTTAAAGAGAAGTTTCAATGTGGCTCAGATTCTGATTTGCTGCATAAAATATGAGAAAATTTTAGATAGGTAAGTAGGTATGCAGAGTACCATGCAAATGATTGTAATAAATAATATTAATTTTACATATAAAATAATAAATAACAGTAGGGATAATAGATATCGTAAAGCTGGAGCAAAAAAATGTATAATACATCTCTATAGTAAGTTTCTTTGGATGATTGCTATTACAAAATAAAATATTATTTATATAATCTGAATAAAATGCAACAAAAATATTAGTTTGATCCAAATAACAGACTTGTAGTACCTAATTAACTTGCTAAGTATAATCGAATAGGTAGTCTAAATTATGGTATTGGGAATTTTCCATTAAATTTTTTTTTTCTAGGAATTCCTAAAACTCTCTACACAAAAAATATAATAAACCACCATTATTTCTAGCAGTGTTAATTACGATCTTAATTAAACTATTACATATTACAAGAGTAAATAACAATTTGGGTTTGATCAGCTGATTCAAAACAGAATAAAGGTTGACAACTCACGTGACTCAGTAATCAACATTTAAATATAAATATGTGACGTTCGTTCCGCTTATTTGTCGAGAAACAGCACGTTTAAATATAATAAAAAACAGCCAAGTTGTTTACAATTATTAATCGCAGAAACAAATAACGATGGATCACCAATAAGCCAGTTAAACATCAGGAAAATGACGTCATAGGAATAAGTGAATTTCTGTACCTTTACTAGACGACCTAGACAAAAATCGTAGTATGTTTTCATTGTGCCACGTTATGGTTCATCGATCACAGTTCACGGTTCTTCCTCGTTTGGGAAAAGTTAAAAACATCGAAAATTTGACACTGTCAATGTCAAGACACTTTCACCATGTTTAAATTTTGAATAACGTCAAATTAAATATCTATAATTATTTGTTACCTTGTCTGTGTTATTATTAATTATTGATCCACTTCAGTTAGAACATAAACACGAAGAATTTTGTCCGAAAAAACGTAATATTCTCACTGAAAACAGACGGTTGGTCTGCAACCATTCACACTCCGTCGATGTTTACGATATCGGACCGAACGTGGCGGAAACAGCTGAAAGGTGAACTAACCTCTCGGCTAGATTTGTTTTGTGTTGTGGCTCGGTTAAAGGCGAACGTGAACGTGTTGGGCCGGCGAATGGCGGGAGAGCATCAAGCCACAAGAAATGGGGGGAACAATGATAGGAAAGAGTGCGTGGAGCGGATCATCGCAGGATACAGGGGAAACAATGTAGATAATGGGAATGAACATAGGGAACGAACGAGCGGGAAAGCTATACGAGGCAATTTCGATTTGTTTTGTGCGTTTTAGAAAATGGCGAATGTGCCAGGCGAATGAAGGTTTGTTAACTTTTCTTTCAATATAGACAGAAAAATGCGTTAAATTTACATTTTTGGGACAGTTCAAAAAAGGTTAAAGAGGTCAAAATTGGTAGGTATATATTGTAAAATATGAAATGTCTTTATCCAATCCTACATTTACCAAAAATATATTAAATGTTAAGTGTTACAAATTAATTCTTGTTTCTTGTTGTATTATTGACTACAAAAATACTGACATCACAGGAAGTCAAATATATGGGAATAACCCTGGACAGTAATTGAACAGGCATATTCAGAACATTACCAGCAAAGCCATAAAGGCTTTCGTGATACATAGACTGGTGGTAAATATATGGGGCTGCGCCGCTAACATTTTGCGCTGGATGTATACCATGATAGTAAGACCCATGATTACTTATAGAGCAGTTTCTTGGTACACAAACCGTAGAGCAACGTACAGCAAGGCAAAACTTGTATAAAATACAGAGACTGCATGCATCACGGGTGCCATGAAAACCTGCGCAAAAGTATCAATGGAGGTTATTCTGGATCCAACACCACTGCACATTATCATCGGTAGATATTCCAGTAATTAGAATGATCAATAACGGAAACAGTACTGGGGAAGGAAGTCAAAACCCTCAAAAGGAAAAATTCCATAGTATTGAGCAATAAAAGGAATTGAAAGAGAGAAACGTTTGTTCAGCAGATAAAAAACCATACTATAACGTGGTATACTGATGCTTGCAAAACCAAAGCCGTAACAGGGATAGGAGTATTTGTATCGATAACTAAATACTCCGAACAAATGGGCACCTACCCCCGCATCCTTCAGGCTTTTTCTTATAAGCTATCGAAAAATGCGAACTTATCTTAGATAGGAAATATCGGAAGAAAAGCCATCCTATCCGATAGTAAAGCAGCATTAAAAACGATCAACTCAGTAAGCATCAATTCGAAATTGGCCAAAGAATGCCTAGAGAAGCTGAACAAAGGTTAACCGAGGGATAAAAGGCAATGAAAAAGCAAATGACCTAGCTAGAAAAGGAGCGAACACTCCACTAACTGGACCAGAACCGTTCTGCTTCCCAAGTGGAAATCAACTTAAAACGAGACCGGAGGACCCTGAATTTGTAATCTGGAATGAGAATCCCCAACGGTCTAAAGCGTAGTTTACACGGGCAAGTAAATTATCGCAAGTATATGTCTGAGAGCACTTCTACCAAACTTGCATAATGTAAACAGTATCCGAAAGCACTCTCTCAGCAAGTCACAAAATTGGCGGGGAAGTGGTTGCGACGAAAGACGCTTGCAAGTGTAAATAGGTTGGGGGAGTGCTCTGGCAAGTTAAAAATTTATTTCCGTATTGTTGAAAGTTTTTGGTGCAAGTGATTTTCGAAGGCGTGTTAAATAACGATATTAAAATGGAGTATGTGGTCGAAAGAAGATACCATCACTTTGATTAATTTATTTGAAGGATTTCCGGAATTGTGTGGTCGAAAGAAGATACCATCACTTTGATTAATTTATTTGAAGGATTTCCGGAATTGTGGCAAAAAAAATTGAAAATTTACAGAGATAGAGCTAAAAAGCAAAAAGCAATCAAATTTATAGCTGACAAATTCAACACAACTGAGGCTGAGATTCAGCGGAAGCTACATAATATTCGTACCCAAGCACACCCTACCAGGAGTGGAACAAAATTATAAAAAGAAAAAGTAAAATCGACTTCTGACATTCGCAGAAAATTGTTTAAATGCTTTGGGTCTTCTTTTTGGGATTTCTTATTTTTTTTTAATAACATCGCGTAAGCTCCAAGACTAGGCTTTCTGGCAATCCATTCTTTAACCCATATTCTTTTTCTAGATTTTCTTGACTGTTTGTGTAAAATTGCAACAAGAAGGGCAGTGGCTGCAGCTCTCTTTTTACGGCGCGACATTTTTCTACTAAACAATATACTTGTGCAATATACACCATACCGTGTATACGTGCATGCAATTTCTTGCTCAAAGCATATACCTAGAAAGTACTTGTTGCAAGAAATTGCTTAAATGTAAACACTATCGCAAGTTACTCTAGCAAGTTCTATCGCAATTTTCTATCCCGTGTAAACTACGCTTAAGACACTCGAAGAACTTTCTCAGGACTTTCTCCTGGGGGATACAATAAATTTGTAAAGTTGGGGTGATTAACCCCCCTCCCATACCATTCTACATCACTGACAAATTGGTCTCCGTCGAATCAACGCAGTGACGTTTACAAAAAATAACTAGTTTATTTTGTAGATTTTCTTTCAGTGGCGAAAAACCTAGAAGTTTTTTCAAGAAATGAACTTGCCACAAAGGTAAACTTATACATTATTTAAAAAAGTGTTGTAATAATTTTAGATGACGGCGTAAAAAACCTCTTTAATTATCTTTCCCTATATTAAAATTCCAAAATAATAAGTGTCTAAAGTATTTTAAATAAAAAAAAAATGTTTAATTTACATCTGACCAATTTTTCTCGGGTATTTTTTCGCTGGAAGTAACGAGCTCTTGAAAAGTTTCCATCACAACTTGAGGGAAATGAAATGCAATTATGAAAATAAATTGGACAGCCTCGCGTTGACGCAGTTTCAGAAAAAGAAGAAAAAAAATGCAAAAAATAACTCATACCAGTGAAAAATTACGTTAAATTGAAATGGCGGAATATATAAAAAGCTTGTTTAGCTATCTGTTTTAAATTATCATTCCCAGGATAGTTACTTTCTTGTATTACTACAGTACTAAAAGCTTCCATAACAACAACAAGAGTATATTAATAGTGTCACCATCATGGGTCACTGAGCGATCTCTTCCTAACAAATACAGAAATTAGACAGGGATGTGGCTTAGCGCCTCTACTATTCAACATATTCATGGCAGCGCTCTCCATTATAGCGGACAGTAAACTGCAGGAAAGAGGAATGGGCATTAGATACAAATACGATGGCGGTCTGTTCAACATAAAAAGACTCAGCGCAAAAACACGTACAAAATTCATCACAGAACGTCAATACGCTGATGACTGCGCTCTAGTTGCAAAAACGTTACAGCAATTAAAAGAAATGTTGAAAACATATACCTGGGCATACGAGGTTTTGTGCCTTAAGCTGAACATCGATAAAATTAAATCATGTGCACTCCCCCGGAAGATCACAACAATGCTATAAAAATCGGAGAACTATTGGAATATGTAGCGGAATTCAATTACCTCGGCAGTTTGATTTCGAAAAAGGCCAGTATTGACTCTAAAATTCAGCACAGGATTAACAGCGCCTCAAGAGCATTCTAGAAATTAAAAGACAGGGTTTTTTACAATCATGACTTGAGCATGAAAATGAAACTTGCTGTGTATCGAGCAATATTAACGACACCATGTTATATGGAAGCAAAACCTGGGTGCCGTACAGCTGACACATGAACGCATTAAACAAGTTGCAACAGAGACACCTTAGACAACTCTTAAGAATCAAATTGTTCCACCAGGCCTCAAACGTATCGGTCCTTGAAAAAGCTAGAGCGAGCGTTGAAGTCATGATTATTAAATCCCGCTTAAGATGGGCTGGTCATACATATATGCAGGATGCAAGAAAACCGCATACCGAAATACCTTCTTTACAGTGAGCTTGTAGGCGGTAAGAGGAAACCGTCAAAAGGTACAAGGATATTTTCCACAAAAACTTAAAGGGGATAAACATGGATGAAGCAGAACACAATAGAATGCAATGGAGAAGAATGATTGTAAACTCAGTGACCAGCGACAACCAAAAAGTAAAGAGGCAACAAAGCAATGAGATTTTTGAATATCCGGTGTGCGGAAGAGAGATAACATCACGTATCGGGCTTTTCAGTCACAGAAAAGCTCAAGAAAGAGAACGCCTTGCGTAACCATCGTCTGATGCGTGTCAAATACTCGTCAGCAAGTAATGGCAGTAGTACTAGTAGTAATAGTTTTAATTGCCCTTTCTACCAAGTTTACCTTTCTACTACTAAGTATTAATATTTTATCAGTAATTTAACTTTTAGGGTGCGCTAATTTTTTTATATTTTTTTTATTTATTCAATTCTGACCTTGTATAACTTATATAATAGAAAGTCCTGAATATCAATTATTTAAAGAATTTTAAAAACTGCCTACAGGCCCTTCTTGTGTCTGTATTAGTGTACATGTTACGGTTAAGGTCCCATGTCCTGTTAATGTCGACATTACCCGGTTAATCTCGAGAATAACACACAACAAAACAACCAAAAACATAACCTAACCCAAACACTAACGTGTTAATGTCGACATTAACCGGACATCGGACTTTAACCGTAACATATATATTGTTTTCGAATAAGTAAAATTCTAATAATGGTTATTATAATTAATAAGAATTATGCTAAAAAATATCAGAGTTAAAAATCATCAATAAACAAACAATACTATTGAAATAAATATACAGGGTCCGGCAAAAGTGCGTTGGGCATAGAATATAGCTCCTAGAATAAAAAAAAACTTGATGCAAATCTAAAGTACGTACGAGGATATATTTCAGGAAAATACTTTAACTTCTATAGGGTGGCTCAAAAAAGTGTCAGTGGATCGGCATAATTTTGTTAAATGGAACACCCTGTATATTATTGCATTTTTGGCTTCCTTCCAGATCGCTTTACATAATTCTAAGATATGAGTAAATATGTTTCGATATGTGAGAGATATTAATAACTAAATAAAAAATATATTTTTCAGCTTTTTAAAAAAAATATTAAAAATACAAGAAATGTCTCGAAATCAAAACTATATTAGGTATTTAC